CTGTAAGCCTTGAGTTGATTAGGTCAAGTGTTCAGGCTTCAAGTGTTGGTACGAACGGTATTTAGGTTGATTAATTTAGCTCGATTTTTCATACTAAGATTTAAACTAATGTAGATTTTATAAGTCTTGTAAAACTCTAGAACTTTTGATAAAAGTAACTTTTGGCGATATGCTTACATACACAAATTGGTAAGACTGGGACTGGGACTGATACAAAAAATGGTGCCTTCACGAAATCACTACCACTCAGACTGAGGGCAGGTGCAAACAATGGAACTAGAGAAATTTCTTAAGACATTGGCGATTTGTTAGTATGGATTAGAACAGTGCAATTTAGTTAATTTTACTAGATGGAAAGGATGAATTGTTTTTTACTATTTCATTGTTAAATTCGGTACCCTACGAGCTTTGCACGGAACAAACATCCCCTTCCAGGAGTATATTTGTGGGGTACTTTGTTAACTAATTTATGTATGCACCAATTTTCCGTTAAAATTGATGGAGAGGGAAACAAATGGCAGAATTACTTCCAAAACGACGCACGTTCGAAGCAGCCGTCCGAAACCACTAACCATTTTTAATATAGAGACAGTGAATATGTGAAGTGATTCCAGAGCGACAAAGACAGTACTATTCTCCCCCGACAAGTGCCATGAGATTTGGGCATAGTCATACGTACATAATATTTAACCCTACACAGACTATCCTGCCTTTCAAAAAAACACTATCAATGTTTAATCTCTTTGAATGTGTAGCTGTCAGTCTACTCATTTTTTATACTGTATATTTTTCCGCATAAGTATTTCCGCTGCTAGTTTATACAGATATTAGATGCATATACATATTTTTCATCGATGTAAATAATACATATTTTCATACCGAATGAAAATCATATGAGACAGATGTGTATTTTAATTTTCAATGGTTTGGGGGCATTTCTGAACGTTATTTTTTTGCTGTTGCTCGCCTCGAATTTGCTTCTACCGCGCTATAAACACATTGAAAATTACTGAGAATGAAGTGGAAATGAATCAGTTTGCACCGAAAGTTGCTAGAGCTCGAAAATTAATATGTTTCTCAACAAACTAAGTCGTATATTTCATTTTGCTCAAATGCAACTCTCATTGACAAAAATTAAATTATAAAAAAAACAGCAAATTAAGGAAATACAAATACACTATACAAGGTGTCCCGTGACTCGATGGGCATTGCTTAAGAGCCTTTTTTGGACATATTTAAGTCGAAAATTACTTGGAAGATGGAATTTTAGCGAAAAGTTCAAAAGTGTGACGAAGCTAAGGGCAAATAAATTGTAAGAGAACATGAAGAGTAAATATAAGAGTAGGTATGCAATGTTTTATTACAACCACAAAGTTCCACTGCCTCACAGCTCATTCTGGCGCTTTTTAAGAGTATTTAAGAGTATATTTGTATTGGCTCAAGCTGTCGCCATCGAATGACACAACACCCTGTATAGCGTCCAATTTACCAAATCCATCGACATCAACTCTACAAGATTTTGTTGTTGGTCTTGAACAATTTCGACTTGAATTGAAAAGTAAATCGTTAGACTCTGGTTTAAAAAAGCAAAAAAATATATTCAAACTAGTGCGAGCCCGAAACAAACAAAACTGCCACTAAAGCAATACTCTCTCTTAAGTACGTAATATACTCGAACGCTTGAAAAAGTCAGAAATGTTTCCCTAAGCCAATCCAAATGATGTTCACTGACATGGACATCGTTTGGATGTCTTGCACCATCCAATGCCTTAACATGGGAAAAACACATATTGGTTTATCTCAGGAGTCAACCCCCAACCTTCGCTATTCAGGTATATAGTGTGTTGTTCAAATAAATGTCCGAATATTATACAGAGAGGATATATTTTCCGCAGTCGAGGATATAAATAGCGTTTTGAGCATGTACGAGTAGATGTTTGTTGAAAATTGAGAAGTATATAACATGAAAAATTTAATATATTATAGTAAAGGGTTTGAGGCAAGGATATGCTGTCATAAATACTGGATAATGCCTGGCTTAGAAGGGATTAGGCATTATTTCTTTGCATAAATCCCTGATAGACATAGAGGAGACCTTTAAGCAGGTGTACAAAACAATGATGGTACAAAAAACTTCAGGAAGAAATTGTTACATTTTCAGCAATCGGTTGACTCCGTTAGTTCTTTCACTGCCAAATTTGGCTCTGTCTCAATCATCATCCCATTCTCAAAATGACTCTTATTGGTAGATAAGAAAATCCCACAAAACTCGACTCTCAGCTAAATTACTTAAATATGAAGTTACTTAATACTTAGAGACTGAAATTTTTTCTTTATGTGTATATTGGAATTTTTATTTAATTAAAATATCGGAACTTCATAGTTTAGGTAGGTGTGTAGGTAAAGTGTTTGTTAAAACTTGCTGATCAGTATGTGTGAGCGCAAACACAAGTCGAGCTTTTCCCGAACTGATGTTGGTGGGAAGAGCTTTTTGTGAGAGATTTTAAAAGACTGGATTCTAGATATCAATTAATGTTTTAACGAAACGTCAGCAAGTGGGGTTGCTCTCTTTTTCTCGAAATATTCATTCAAAATCTTCATACGAGCAATGGAATGAGTATATTTGGTCGGTTTTGTGGGAAACCAATTTCTGAACGAAATCCACGCAGTCCATATAACGACTAAGATAATTCGATACTAGCTTCTTAGTATCTCAACTTCGTACTAGAATAGCAGTTATTGCTTGTAATAATCATCAGTGTTACATAATTTTGCATTTTTCATAATTGACGAAGTCGTAAATACATTAAAACGAATCAAATTAATTTTTCTTATATAAAAAACACCATATACTTATTATAAACACTGCCAAGCGTTTTTGGACTGCCATCATTTTTAAATACCTAACCGTAGTTCCATGTCGATTGTAAATGTGTGTCGTTTAAATGTAATAAAAAAATCATCGTGAATTTACTCCTAATATTAAACAACTGCGTGGATTTTCGTTAACTTAATATTAACAAGGAAACGACTGTAACTGTGTATATGTTAAACGTAATTTTTTATGTTTTCTATTCGGTACTATTGATATGATCTGGTTGGAAGGCTTTACATCACATACATGGTATTGAATGCCAAATTGTAGGGCCTTGTAACATCGAACATAAAATGTGTTAATCGGAATGAAAAATGAGAACTTAGCGGGCATCTCTCAAGCACTACCACTTTTTGTTACATATTTATTTATTATGATGTACTAATTTTAGCTTTATCGTTAAAAAATCATAACTCTATACACAATGTTTTCCTTCGAAATCTTATTTAGAATATGTATGTACGATATGTAAATAATTTTTGAAAATTACCAATAATTTACTTTTATACGTTTCTTTATCAGTTTTGCTTTTGTCTAAGCAGGTAGAATGATAGTTGATTTACTCATTGTTTTTTGAGATAATTGAATACGAAATTTGCTCAAAATTACGTTGCCTTTTATGTGCCAAACCTGCTGTACTTGCATGCTATGGGACACATTTCTGTTGGAAAATTTCTATGGAAAGTTTGAAGAATGTGAGGAATCCAATGCGGAAAACATGCATTGGTACTACGATTCGTAACACTTTCTAGGGATTATTTATTGTCACAATCTGGAGATGTTTCTTTAGTAATTGTCTAGTGTTTAGGGCCTCCAGGATTTCGATAATGAAAGCTTACTTGCGTTGTAGATTATCGTTGACCAACACTTTATTAGTGGTGTTCCTCACGGAAAAACCTTTTTCAACAGTTAATCGACATTTCAGGACATGGGATATTGTTGTTTGGCTTTAGTAAAACAGGGAAAAGTTCTGAACTTGTGTGCCTCAAAAAGTGGTTAAAAAATGCATTTCCAGAAGAAACACCACTAAGAACAACTTCTAGTAAAGGGATAATCTTCAGCGTAAGGGCGATATTCATTAAGTAGTTATGATTAACTCCAGAAGAGTTCAAGAAACGTTTATCTGAGAGTATCGCCGGAAACCAGTAGCTTAAAGTTAAAAAAAGGAGCATTTTTGGAAAACTGTATTTACCAGTAGCTCTTCTTTCCATATTTACATGGACCGTGTAGTGGAAAAATCCGTAGTCACCTCAAAATTCTAAGCACTGTTATGTAAAGACACCCCGTTTGAGACCAAACGTCAGACGGTTTCAAAAATCGCATTTTCTCAGCAAAAATCGCACTTTGAACAAGAAAAATACCATAAACCGATAGAATCAAACTTCCCATTTGAGGAAATCAACAGTTTTTGGCACAGAATTTAAAAAAATCAAAAATTTTCGAAAAATTGATGGATCGATGTGTACACTCTTGCCCAACCGCGACTAAAGTGAGCAAAAACGTCATGCGCGTTGACAGGCGTTTAAAGGCGCGTAATTCGAATTTTATCAAGACTTGGATGGTGTTTTAGGACTTCCTGTGTAAAGTGCCCCCAGAAATGCGCTTTTTTCATGTTCATGTAATGTTTATTTTTTTTGTCATTGAAATGCGAAAAAATACATAACATACAAAAAGACTGCAACTACACAGTGGTCGCATGCCTGCAACTGAGTTTTTAAACGTAATTTTGATTTTGGAATATTCGACTTTTTAGTTATTTTTCGTTAAGCTTTAGATCCGGTGCAACTGTTCTATCTGCTCATTCAAAAGGAACCATTCCTACAACAAGAATTCTAGATAAAAGCATAGATTAATTATTGGAAACGTGCAATATGTACAAATTTAACTAATTTTTTATATATATAACTATGTTAGGACTGTATATTGAGATAATTAGTTGTGTTAACTTTTACACACAAAAAATGCTGATTGGCAGTATTATAAGCGTCAGTGAAACGTTGTTGGTTTTTTTAAGAATACCGGAGAATGGACATGGAAGCTTTTCGGTCAGTCATTCAAGTACTGTTTTATAAATATTATAGTTGATTTACTGTACAGGATGCCGATATGTTACGTTGTTTGTGACTGGCCGAAAGTCGCAAGTCCCAATACAGTTGACCTGCAACATACCTGGAAAAAACGAGAATTGTAAGCAATGAACTGTTTGATGATATATTTTGTGCAGTAAACCGTAAATTAATAGAATTCGCTGTGTTTTATTCATTATCCTTACATTCAGCCTCACTGGGTTCCATTCACTGCAATGTCGGGTTTGATCAAGTTCCTAGTCATCCATCCTAAACAGTACGCTTGATGGGCATCAGTGATTTCAGGTGCACCTGAAAAGCAACTAAATTCCTTCAAGTTCTCTCAAAATATAATAGTTCCTACCGTCTGAAGGGCATAAGTCGCTATAATCGGCTTGTGCTAATTGATAATCCCCAAACCGCCCCTCAATTAGGTCCTGGAAGCTGTCTAGTAGAAACCACAAAGAGCTTCATGATTAGATCTTACCTTAAGAATTGCATATTGTATGGGAAAGCACATGGTGCGTGTCACAATTTCTGCAATAACGTCCATCATCCAGTCCAGCAACATTTGCGAGTTTTTGTTGATGATCGTGAATATCAAATCGCAATTTATATATTTTCCAATATAGAGCAGATATAGATTGTCGCCTAACTTTGGTCGCTCTCTTAATGGAATAGTCTGAAAGACAACAGTTGCAAAAACCTTCATTAACAAGAGCTGTTCTTACATCAATATTTCTCACTAGGTTCAACCACATTCTCTCTGTGTAGTTGACAAGATACAGGCCAGGAGTTTGGTGGGTGTTGAAGAGAATCCAGTCAGATAGATTTCGAATTTCTATCTCAACTATTAACATTCAGTTGCAATATATGGGCGTCCTCAAAAAATCCTTACCACTTTCCAAATCTCGGTCAAACCATATAAGTCCTCTGCTTCCATTTCCCAGTCGATATGAAACTGGCACTGTCCACTTGGAGCTGGAATATGCAAAATAATCAACTAATTAGCTCGAATTACTCACCTAACTCATATTCTTTTGAAGATCCTGAAACCTGTTCCAAAGTATACAGCCCATCACCAGAATCATTTACATTTATAATTGGACACCCCTCTTGGAATAGGAAGCTTTCCAAAAAAGACCTAATGTTGATGTTCGGAAGCTTCTCTTCAAATGCTTCAATCACATCGTTCGTTGTAGCTGTCTTAAATAGATGCTTCTTCAAATATTCCTTGGAGATTTCTTGGAAAGCTTCTTCACCGATCAGGCGTTCCAATGACCTCAACAGATAGGAGCCCTGGAAAGGTTGGCAGCAAAACCTGTAGACTCTGGTCTCTGGTCGGTGTCAAACGATACCTTTCGATAAACCACTTGATTGAAACGATCCTGAGTGTCTTGAGTGTTGTTCAAAGGCACAACCATTTGCCTCATTGTGGACTGGTCTTCGAACCGGATTGCGCCCGTTAAAGTCATTTCTTTGATCAACTGCAGAAGAAAGTTATGGGATTTGTGCCGCTTTAAATCTAAAAAACTTGCATTTCGTCTCGATGTGCTCTTTTTAGAAATAAAAGAGGCGAAACTCTCTTGGATCCATAAATCGCTCCACCAGTCATTGGTTACTGAAATGACTTTATCATCAGAAAAGCTGAAGATTTTGTGATGAATATTGTTGAAAAATTCTATTGTTAAATGAATTATTATCAAAAAGGTTTGGCTAAAGATTACGTGAAACTGACGAGTTTTTTCAGGCCTTTGCAAGCCACTCGTGCTTGTCGAACGTTAATTTATTTTTCACAACGGCCTAAAAGCTCCAAATATGATGAATACATATGATTCAAAATATTTTATTGCTACTTACCCAAATTGCCGAACCAAAAGTGGCTCAATTCATGGGCCATCGATGTTACATACAAACCATATAGAGTGCTGTTCTGGTTATAAGATAGATATCCCCAATTAAACTGGACCAGACCCCAAGTTTCTGTAGCTGGGGACTTTTTTTTTTCATATTCGATAAAATCTGAAGTTGGGAAAATCCAAGAGAATTACAGAGAGCCGCAAGCTGAGGGTTAAATGAGATTTTTATGAACTCAGAGTAAAAGTGTGGGTGAGTCTGGATAAGATCGAGATCGAGCTAGAAAGTTTCTTTCGGGTCTGGAAACATGAGACT